GCGTTTAAATAACGCCAAAAACGTTCATGTGGGCATTTTCTATGATTACATTAACCTCCGACATAAGTGTATCGAATTCACCATGTAGTTTGAGTCCAAAAATAGTTAATTTTTTCTCGATTGCAATGTCACAATATCTATTTGCGGTTTTCAGACATCTGTTTTCTGAAAGTCAACGTTTACCGGGGTAAGCAACAGCTTTTCCAGCTCTTGCTCAGTTCGTCTCCAATAAAATGGGATTCAAACATTTATAAACCGCATTTTTCTTATTTGCTACACTTTCCAAGCTATGCACACAGAATTTGAATTTTAGCGCAGTATTTTTTCACTAAATGGTTCTCCGCCATAATTGGTCTACATTCAAAATAAGAAATTGGTGTCTAAAATTTTCTGCAGTTGTTCCCGATTGCGACAATAAAAAATTAATTTGTTGTTATTTGCCTTACTTTGGCAATGCACCTGAGACGATGGCTAAGGATTTGAAAGTTTTTTTCACAAAATACCTTATTAATGTTAATCTACAGTTCTACACGTTTTGTTGGTGAAAAATTTAGAAATCGGCTCGTTCTTCGAGCATAAAAATACTCTACCTCTTTTCATGCATTCGTCCCTATTAGTTAAGATAGCTATGGTTGTGCGCAGCGTGCATCAGTGTGCGTCGGTATGACCTCTTGTAATTTTTATACCATAGGCTGGCGGAGCATAAGGGCAGAAGTTATAGAACAGGGTCTATACTTTCAAAAAAAGTTAAGAGATCGTAAGTTCATCAACCAATCATTGACGGCCTTTCAAGCAAAATCCACCAATCATAGGCGAGAAAATAGAGCGTAAGTACGGTACTTAAGTTCACTTAGCGAGTTTTGAAAGTATGGCCCCGGGAAACCTGCTTGCGCAATGCGCATTCTCGTCGTTCAGCTGTGCGTGTCCATGCCAAACAGTGCAATGTCCAGGTGTCCGGTAGCCCGATAGTTTTAGCTTCCACAACCGGTGCTTCGGATCACGAATTTTAAAATCCATGTATATTTAAAAAAAAAACCTAGTTAACATGTCACCTTCAGCTCCTATCCCTTTGAAATTGTAAATATTTAGGCCTGTCACCTCATGTTTATTTACTTTTTCCATTTGTCAAATTAGGTTTTATCATCTTCAATGTGAATTTTAGTTTAATAATTGATTCAGCTTGTCTCATAGGGTTTGAACTGACGATGGATCTGGACACGGAAACGTTTTCTCTCATAATAAATGGTGAATTTTTTGGTTGTTCTCTTTGCTTTAAATTCTTGATAGATTTGCGATTTAAGCAATCAAGTTATCTTAGTACGTTCGTGAGTAACAACGTTAAACACTTTATGGTATACAATCTATTCCAAATCTCTTTTTGTTATATTCGTTCACGATCAATAGAAATCCAGTAATTAACCAAGATTATATCCCCTAAAAGATTCACAGAATGAATTGGAAATCTCCGGCTATGGTGCAAAGACAAGACAAAAAAATCATGATCAGTGTACATAGCTTCAACACTAGATCAGTAAGACAAAGGAGTACCAAATTATCACTGCAAAAGAGCAATAATTCCAGCAATCAAGACCACTTCCAACAGCTAGCCACTGTTGAGCCGACTAGACAGCGTATTGAAAATCATATTTAAAAATGGCCAAGTATAGGCCAACCAAAATTCGACCAGAGATTTCCTTTTTTTTTCAGGGAAGGAAGAGCCTTCCACGGTGATGGACATTTGATGGCTAGTCAAGCGCGAGGTCGATGTTTGGAAGCTAATCAACTAATGGACAAACATATACAATGGTCAAGTGTCGCCAAAGAATCCAGCATTGCAATAAACACGTAACCATGAAACAATCTAACCTTAAAAGCTGCCTCGTTGAGTTTCCACAATGTCAGGAATCGTGCGAAGGACGCTAGTTTTCAATTATTTAAAGGTTTGATTCTTGCAGAATTTCCCGATGCCTAAAACTTTAGGAAGAATGACCACGAACGCAAACAGAGAACACACAAAAAATGTTTTTCCTCGGCAAATTGACTGAGTGTATTTGGTGAAATTAAAAGAGTTTGATTAAACTTGATGGTGACTGTAGATAAAACAGGCTGGAGGGTTGCAAGGCCTGGTATGCCACGAGAGGTCGAATAAGAGACCTGCTACGTTGCTCCTCTTCGTCAAAAATGATAGGCGGATCATCGATGGCTTATCGATGGCCAAGAGGAGCAAGACAAGGTGAGAAAATTATGAAACGTTATCTTTCAGAAAAAATTATGAAACATTATCTTTCGTTGAACCTATATTGTTTCTCGCGTCTAAAACGAGTCAATCTATCTTAACTGTTTGGGTTATGGTTGAACTTGCTAGGAAGAATCTTTCTGGGTCCGAATGCATCGAACGTGAAGGGCTTCAACAGTTGTATTATTAAAATTTTTTAAGCAATTTGCCAAGAAATACCGCCGTCAACAAAACAAACTGCGCCGATACCACTATAACATCGATTCTTCGCTCAGCCCACACGGAACACCGGCCCCCGAACCTGGACGAATAAACAATTCTGTGCTTTGTTGTCTTATTTCCCCTCGTCGTAAATAAAGCTAACGACAGGCTCAACAAGAAGCTCTTAGGAGGCACACCCTGACAAAATACGACACCTTTAGCGCAATATAAATTCCGGTCAGCGTCGGCAATATTGCCTTCCACACCCCGATCTCATTTTGGCTCTCTTCTGTGGGCCTTGAGAGCCGTAAAGAAACATTTCAACGTCCTTGTTAGCTCGGCCTGGCATCTTCCCCTCGCCTCAGATTTCCTTAATCCCACAAATGTAACATCTGCTCCACATCCCCAAAGTGGCACGAGCTTCTATAGTTCATATATAGGATTTTTCTCACGTGCCATCGTTGGATTATCGAAACTTAATCCTGTGATCGTGACCTGCATGGGTGATGATCCCGGCGTCGGAGTGCCCGTTTATACGATGGACAGGATTTTGTTAGGAAAATTAATAGAATTTATAGATAATTTTATCTAAAGAATATGCAAACATTAACAGCCAAACTAGAGAAGAATTTACGATCGCCTTGATATTTCTTGAAAAAGCACCGCATTCTAAATGAATGAACACTGAAGATACATGGTAAGACTGGGTGACTAATTAACCTTTTCCGTACAGTGAACTGTACCCTCAAAATCTTTTCAAGCGATGTCGTGTAAAATATAATTTTTTTGTAAATACACGTGTAGATTATTTCTATCTTACTTATCGTCGTATCGCTTAATAAGTTTAGCAGTATCTTGTCCGGTGTATCACCCGGACGATACACTGGAAAATTAATATCGTGACTATCGTCCTTTGGCAGGATAGCGCCTCCTTGCAGTGCATGACGTACAATATGTGCGTACACACATTGTACTCTGAGCGTGCATACATTGTACTCTACTCAGCTCAGCAATGAGTACGAATAAGGAGAGTTGGGCGAGCCCATGCAGTTGGGTATCCATCGCTTTAAATGAAAGGCTTGTATGATAAATAAAGGCTTGTATTTATCGCCCATTGTGTCGGGAAAAGCATCCTTGTCATATCCATGTTAGGCTCTCCCAATATTAATATTTCTTCATGTACATTATGAGTGAATGCGACTACAAAATATAATATATTCATCTTACAAATAAACAGATCTTAATTAAAGATCGAAATGAAAATCTGAGACGAACGTGGAACTTGAAGGCAAATTCGGTTGCCGAAATAAAAATAAATATAATCGAGCCTAACAAAAAAAAACCGTAATCATGATGGAGCAGCATCTTTCGTGATTAGAAATACGTGTAGTACTTGATTATTCAACCAAACATGGACTAGTGAGCTCAAATTTGAATAATCTACAAACCATGATTCTCCAAACATATACTGAACTCAATGTAACTTATTAAAGCGATTTTAAGGCTTATGCGATCGCAAAGATTTTAGTTGCAAGCTAATAATCAGATTCAATTATTATTTCTTTATGATAATTTAGTTATCTACATAAGAGAACTCTAGGTACAACAAGACGAAAAACGTATAACTGTGAACGATCATCAAAGTACTTAAAACACATCAAATAATAATATTCCCCATGGTTACTATAATACGACACCCATAGTAATTTTGCCCAACATGCGCGCGCGACTACATCGAAAATTTTCAAAAAAAATTCTGTACGAAGACCGTAGCCGTGGAATAAAGTAACATCATCGCTGCAAGTTCTATTACTTGAACGTAATTGTGATAGTAGATAGCGATTACGCGTTCAGTCGTTCACTTTATAATTATTAGTGTGAGCGAACAGTTTATTTTTGGAGAAACTTACGCCCAGTTGCGCCCCTCTAACTGCAGAGTGCAGCGTTATTTTTCTGAGTGCAGCCTTATTTTGCCCAATGAGTAGATATAAACATTAACCCACAGTATCAAGAAAATGTAGGTATTTTATCTAGTTAGATCCTATTTTTCATTATTATACACGTAACATATAGTAATTTCATTAATATATTGCTCGTCGCAAACTAATAAAAATATTTGTTTCATCGATCACAATCAGTTACAATAAAAAATTGATTATTTCTAGGAGCAATATTGCATTTTCACTAATTCCTCTTGATAATAATATAGCTATAATTTTAAAATCATTTCAACTCATTACAAGTATCACGATTAAAAATAGGCACTGTTTATCAATAACCGATCCCGTAGGTCCACATATTTCACTCAATCCACATATTTCACAAGGGCTGAGATAACGATGACTCATTCTTCCTCATTCAAAAATCTATTTCAGTCCATTATTTCAAAATTATCATTGTAATCCTAATAGTATTGTATTTGTGCCAAGCCTTTTATTTTGACGATAATTTTATTTGCATTAGTTGTTGAATTTGTAAGAGTTTTATATTTGTACGAGGATTGTATTTGTGTCAGGATCGTATTTGCAACAAGTATTGCACTTCATACGGCACCATTACTCACCGAATTGCACTCGCAGCGTACGCAGCTCCATACACCAAAAGGCGGTCCGAGGTTCGGGCTCCACGTGGTGTTGATGGCGTGCCATTGGCCCCCCAGACGACATTCTGCAACAATACATTTAACCTTTAGTTTAGATTCAAATTAATTAAATTTCATTTTTTTATCAAGTTACAATGTTTGCATATTAAATCATTACGCTCGTAAAAATTATCCGCAAAAATCAAGATTTATCCGGTCTATGGTATGTTGAGAAAAGTAAACTATTCCAGGAATTACCTTAAAAGTTGTGTATATAATCTCCTACGCTCTTCATTAATATTGAATTTCAGTTTACTGCACGGTAGGATGCATGCAGTCACAAGGCTGACGCTCGCACGCTGCTTTTAACCTTTTATACCAAGCTTTCACTTAAAACAGCTGTTAATAGCTCAAATTTTGGCCCTGTCCACGCAATTTGAATTTCGGAAAACAAAACCCATGACCAAAATCAGCAAGAATCAATGAGATAATTAATTAAAAAAAAATTACACGAAAAGAACGAAAATGACAGAAGCCTTATGACGATTAACCACGAATTATTTTTTCATAGACTCCTTCGAAATTTAACACAAAATTTCCTTTGGTTATCAATATTATAAGCTATAGAGATGTAAAATTAGTTGCACAAGATTCATAATGATTCGTAAAGTGCAAACTAGTACCGTATTCTAACATTACTACGCATGCTTTTCGCAAATAAAACCCCAAGCTAAAAATTAAAATTCAACAGCCGTATAGCAAAAATCTCAGCATCAAACAACCGTCAATTTTATTTAACAACAGACAGAGAGACTTCCCATATTAATTCAACATTCACGTATATTTACTTCTAAATTATCTGGGGCCATACTTTCAAAACTCGCTAAGTGAACGTAAGTACTTACGCTCTATTTTTTTGTCTATGATTGGTGAATTTTGCTCGAAAGGCCGTCAATGATTGGCGGATGAACTTACGATCTCTTAACTTTTTTTGAAAGTATAGGCCCAGATCCTGTAAATTAAATTTTTTTTAAAGTATAGGCCCAGATCCTACAAATTAAAAATGCGATGTGCTGGCAGCGACTCGGCATGGCAATGTAGCGCTCGACTACACTTTATGACAGTCGATAGCTAACTCCCGGCAGCCAAATGTAGCAGACACGCAATTTTCAGACGATTTTAAGTTCGGCAATAAGAGTACGACGGACAATATCATGTCACAGTCGACGGCACAAAAACGCACACTCTGGGTGAGAAAACTCTCGTATTCTATATAGGGTCCATTTGACCGCGAAGTAAATTTTGAATTGAAAATTAGTGTGAAAAATTATTCGCTACGAGTTACAGTGAATTGAGACTGTAAAGCACGAAATAATGAATAAAATAGTGAAATGTCAATAGAAATCATGATTATACAAAAAACTGATCCAACATTAAATGATGGCCCCAGGACCATGAAGCTTCAATTGAGTTTGAAGTTAATATTTTATTTAGATAACTTTATTTCGAGATGGTACATTTCCTACATATCAATGCTTCTCTCGGGTATGGAATCGTTGGTTAGGACTCTCATAGATAAACATTAATTACCATTGTACGAGAATAAACCAATAACTTAACATATTAATTTGTCAACAGGGACTCTCCTAAACATTAGAGTGTTGACCAATTGCACGAGTTATAAGGCATCATGTACATGCCGACGTTACAACCTAGAAAAAAATCGTTAGTTAAAGGAGATTCCAATCGGTGGCTGGCAGAAGTCCAATGAGGTGGCCGCGAAATGTATGATTCAGTGAGAGGAAATTCAGCACGAGCAAAGCATGAGTGAGTCGCAAGAGCCAAGCATGCATTTCAGTCGAGCGTGAGTCGCACGAGCCAAGCCTGCATTTCAGTCGAGCGTGAGTCGCACGAGCCAAGCCTGCATTTCAGTCGAGCGTGAGTCGCACGAGCCAAGCATGCATTTCAGTCGAGCGTGAGTCGCACGAGCCAAGCAAGCATTTCAGTCGATCGTGAGTCGCACGAGTCAAGCCTGCATTTCAGTCGAGCGTGAGTCGCACGAGCCAAGCCTGCATTTCAGTCGAGCATGAGTCGCACGAGTCACGCCTGCATTTCAGTCGAGCGTGAGTCGCCTGAGATGTCGATGTCAGAACAGAGGCATGCGGCAGCCTGAAGAGCAAAGAGTGCCGGCGCGTCTTGCTTGACTCATTTCACAGCAAAGCAAAGACGAGCTAGCCAAGTGAATACAATCCTGCCAAACGAAAAAAAAAAATCATAAGAACATAGAATAACTAGAAAACTCGATGGATGATATTCGTCTCAAATATTGCATATGTGGTTACACATTTAACGCCAGAAAATTGATGTCCAGGAAATAAAATGTTAAAAATATCAAAATAAAGTTAAATGAAATATTATATTAGACTACACTACGTATGTTTTGCTTAAAGAGTTATAAATCAAGGCGCACGAATTTACAATGGGGAAATTGCAGAATAATATCAAGACGTGGAGTAGAAAAATTAAAAATTTTGAAATATTTGTAATCCTGTACACGAATTATGTATAACTTGATCGCAACAACACGTCCTTTAGACCAAGTAAGTAACAAAAACATTTCGGATCAACAGGCGCATCGTCCGACGGTTTTTTCTCAAGTTACGTCAGCTGAAAGTCTCGACACTCGTCAGCTGACGGCTTGTTTCTCAAGTTACGTCAGCTGAAAGTCTCGACACTCGTCAGCTGACGGCTTGTTTCTCAAGTTACGTCAGCTGAAAGTCTGGACACTCGTCAGCTGACGGCTTGTTTCTCAAGTTACGTCAGCTGAAAGTCTCTACACTCGTCAGCTGACGCTTGTTTCTCAAGTTACGTCAGCTGGAAAAAATTCTCAGCACGCGTCAGCAAGAGGCATCTCAAGGTGTGTCAGCTGAAAGTCTCCTGAAATGCGTGAGGCGAAAGACCCTAAACATGCGTCAACCAAAAGCCTCTCAATATGCATGAGCTGGTCCAACATGTCCTATAGGCTTCGGCAGCGTCGAATTAGCACTTCATCGCATTCAATTTATCGCCTAAACACGAACTTCACAAGAGGTCATTGACAGCACACTAAAACCAGGCATTTTTTTGCCGCTCTAAACACATGTATGAGTGAAATTATTGAAGCTACAGAATACAACACATACACGTTAAAAATGAAAACCGGCATCAGTTAATGAGTGAAATTAAAAGAATTAGGGTCGCAGTTAATATAGGAGTATAAGAATACGACATAAAACATTCCACCAGTCATTTACAAGGCACCGACGCTACGACGATACGCAGCATTCGAGGTTTATAGCGCATTTTCTCATTTATAACAAAATGCACTATTGTGCTCGCCATGTCCGTCTGTCTGTCCCTCCGTGACTTCGTTTTCGTCGATGAGAAAATGCGCTCTCTGTCACTCACTGCAGTGAGTACTGAGTTATATTCTTTTATGTGTTGCCGCTGACGTGAAGAACTAATGCAGCAGTGACGGTGTGACGTCACATGTCATGAGATAGGTTAGTACGTGCAGCCTGGCACGTACAAGAAGGCAGAACACAGGAAGCAGCCGTCACTTCATCCATCACGACGATGAATGAACTGCATTCACGGCCTCTTCGCAGCCGGTGGCAGATGCGAGATGCAGCACGCAGCAGTCTTTCTCGGGACGAAGCTAGGTTATCGTGCCAATGTCACGAACACGTGACATAGCACGACAAGGTTACGGTTGTGATTTGAATATCCGTATACGCTAGACTCACCTAGAGTGATCCAACGCTTCACAATTAAATGGAAATTGGCATTTTTTGAGTGTTGAGGCCATCAAGCCAATTAATGTCACTTTGGAGTTCACGATTATGTTAATGCATTGAACTTACTCTACGTGTGTTATATATAACATACTCTACACATATGCAACATTAAAGATTTATGCAGTATTATCTGTAGCGAAAAAATGATCCACCAAAAATATTCGGTTGCTTTCAAATGATTTTAATTTTCATATGACATCGACTCTCAGGAATACATGACAACGAACGTCGACATCATCAGCGTCTCTGTCAACGATAACATTGCAAAGATCAGCAAAGTTTCAAGTGATCAAAAGTGTCAATCAAGACCACCTTGCACATCTCGTCAACTATCTCCCGCTATCTTTTTATCGCAACTTTGATCGCACAATCTTGACAAGCGTAACCAGTCATTGAACTCAATTTAATGTTGCATCACCCTAATAATATAATTTAGTAAACTTTATCGTGCAATTAAGTTTAGCTATTATTTATGGGGTGGTATGCAAACAAGCACGATTTCCAGATCCTTGTTGGATTAATATAAAGGTATTTTACAAAAAGACATGGCGCCAGCCGATGACATAAAAAAGGTAATACAAAAAACAATGGTAGAAAAGGTTATAAATAAACTTGCGGAATAATCATATTGTTATTAATCTGTTTCGCTTACAAACTGTTTTAGCAGTTGAAATTAAAAGAATATAGCAACGAAAACGAGTATACGTATACAACAGTATGGGCAATTATGTGCATTTCAGTAATTGCGTCCAAAATAAGAGGCCGAACAGCCGTGAAATGAAAAAAAAATCCTATACTAATAAGAAAACGTAAATAAATACACGTAGCCGAAACACAAGTACGCTTCACCTAAACAATTGTTATAGAAAGAAATGAAAAAAATCAATAAACCTCAAAGTAAATAAAAAACTATACGAACACCGTCAACACAGCCCTTATTGTTCAACAACTCGAGATGCGAGAAAGGGATCTTGACCAAAGTTTGAGAAAGGTCGAGGATCTTGACCAAGAGGATCACGAAGATCTTGACCAAGAGGATCACGAGAATCTTGACCAAGAGGATCACGAGAATCTTGACCAAGAGGATCACGAGGATCTTGACCAAGAGCACCACGAGGATTTTGACCAAGAGGATCACGAGGATCTTGACCAAGAGGATCACGAAGATCTTGATCAAGAGGATCACGAGGATCTTGACCAAGAGGATCACGAGGATCTTGACCAAGAGGATCAAGAAGATCTTGAACAAG